GCACTTTCTAAGGGACAAAGAGATGCCAAATCATGGATTACCCATGGAGGAGAAATAGTGGTTTGCATGGTATTATGGCATCCTGCTTGCACTGTGGTAAGAAGTAAGATGTTTGTGCCACATCAGTGAGTTCTGAAGGCAGTAATACTGATTTTCTGTAGTTCCTGTAATGATGCGTTACGATATTAGATGACCTGAAAGCTTCACCTTCTAGAAGCAGGTAATTTATATGAAAATTCCAGTTTTCCATTTAAAATTCAAACAAGCTTCCAGTCTTCATGGGAGTAGAGACAGACAGGAGATGTGATCTCAGTATATCACTCAAGTCCAAAATAAAAAAATATCCCCTTTCCCTGCTCCGGTACTAACCGAGCATTTAAACCCCTTTTTCCCTCTCCTCCCTTAAAAATACTGGACCCAGCTCCAGAAGTTTTGAATGGCTGAAATTAGAAGCATTAGGGAAGACGTTTTAGGTGCTTACGTATTTTCTGAAATTCTGTTTCCACTTCTAGTTTTCCCTTTTTTCACAATATTCCCACTTACTTTCTTTAGGTCCTTGCCAACATTTTTTTCCATGTGAGTGTGTGCTCTGTTCTTGGTCCTTCAGGCTAGAGACCTACAACATGCCTGTTCTGGACACCCAGTCTGCCTTCACTCTCAAAGTCGTAGTCCTTCGTTTTTCAGTCTAATAGACTGGTTTTTGTATAGCTAAGATTGTTTTTAGCCTGAATTTCTTTGCCAAAGAACATTTATTTGATTTCTCATTGAGGAGTATAAGATAAATATCTTTATGTAGTTGAGAAAGGAGAAGTATTTTGATTTTTTTGACAACTAATACAGAAACTTGTCATGTTTATCTGGTTTCTTGAATTTCTTTTCAGTTTTGGTTTAATTTGTAGTAATGTTTATGGGCAGTCAGAAGTGAAAGTAAGGAACTATGGTGAAAATATGTGAGAAAGAGACAGTAGTATGTAAAAACATAATGGGCTGTAAGTGATGAGGGAAATGGTGGATTCTGTGGATGTTAATTTTGGCTATGTGAAATCCTTTATTTGGTTGGAGATCATGCTTGAAGTTCGTATCAGATAAGCTGTGAAAGCTGATTTGACAATTAGTGCACATGGGCTTTTTGCAGAGGATGACTTTCACCCAGACGTTTTACCATAGTTATGTTAGATTTTTGATGATCTTCTCCTAATATATAAAATACTATGCTCTACTATTTAATACGGAAAGTAGTCTCGTGGACAGGACAGTGGTCATGAGTTGGAAGTTCCCATGTTTTACACTGGAGTAAAATGACCATGGATATCATAGACTTCATCATAGACAGACCAGAGATGATGTATTTATGTACCTGTGAAGGTGTTAGTGATCTACAGATGAAGGGTCAGATCCTCTCAGATATTAGGGGAACTGGCTGCTCTCTAGTGTGGATCTGCCCCTGGGACAAGTGTGGATGGCCACTGAGAAGCACTACGTTTGTAGGGGGTACAGAGCTGGTTTGGCAGGCATAACACCTTATCTTTTCTACAGCTAGTACTGAGTGAGCGCTGGAAGGGAGAAGTGCATAGGTTTCTCCATGCCTGTTAGTCTTGGCTGTCGTGGTATCCTCTTCAGAAGCCTGAGTGGAACAAAATGGACAGGGGAACTGAGGATTACAGGGGTTGTTGAAAGCTTCCTCATATTTTTGTTGCCCTGAATCATTTGCCATAGGGTCCATGGAGCAGATCTGAAGCATTTTCATACATGCTTACTATTGGTTTTATTTAGAATCTATGTTTTTTCCTTTCCTTGTTTTCCAGCTTGCACCTGTTTTTTGTTTTCTGAGCATAACCCTAAGGTTAAGTAAGTGCCAGAGATACCAGTGAGAACTTACGGTGCTAAACAGTACATTTTCAACGGTGTTTATTGTTGCAGTGACAAGGTAGCTTACACATTTATAAACCGCCGACAAGAAATTGTAAAAAGAAGCTGAGGGTCTAAAGTAACCAAAAACATGGCTTTATCTTCATGCTAGTTATGGAGAAATACTTCACCCCTCCTCAGTAAATGCTTTTCAGGTAATACATTGCAGATTCTGGCACCATATAGTCTCTCCCAACATTTTGTTTTCTGTAACAAGTTTTAGATCAGAAGTGAAAATAATTTTGTAGTCCTTTCATTTTTGAAAAAATTGGCCCTAAAATATATACCACTTCGTGGCTACCAAATACTGTGCCTTGACACAAATGCCATGCAGAAACATGTCACCCCTCTCAAAAGGTTAGTTGATATTTCAGGATGTTGAATGTCTTCTAAGTAAACATGACCATAGCCAAATACATGTTACATTTTTCTTTCAAGAAAATAAATAGATCATTTTGAAGCCTTAGGCAGCATGCTATTTGTTAATCAGAACTTGTTCTCATACAACTGTATTTAAAGCAGAGAAGACACATGAATCGTACAGGAAAACAAAGTAATTTTAAGTTAAAGCAATATAAAAAAAGAGTTATGGCTGCTGTTCAGCTATAAACTCAGGCCACTATGCTGCCACATATATTGTATTTGTTCTGAGCCCTCTACAATATTCCTGGATAGACGTATATTAAAAGTGAAATAGAAGACATAAATTTGAATTTCTTTAGTTTTGATAGTTTGTTTTTCATGCTACATGCAGTACACTGTTTAACAGCTTTAGAAAAGTCTTAAAAGTCAGGTTTCCTAGGATATTGTTCTTGTCTCCAGTGGCATTTTTTTATAATCCTGGATAAGCTGCTAGCCTGTCTAAGGCTTGGTTTCCATACTCGTATAATAAACTGTTTAAGTAACTGATAGAAAGTCCTTTCTAAATTGAGGAGTGCGGGGCTTGAACTTTAGTGACTGCAGTAGGAAGAACCATCGCGTTCCAGAGCTTGCTCACTGTCTCCATGTTTGACCTGAGTGGTTAGGTGTTTATCAAAATAGGTAGTACTGTTTCCTGTTGCCTGCTTTGGGCTGCTCCCACCACTGGCCCCTGAGACAGCATTTTGGTCCTTCTCTGCTGACCATTATCAATTTTGATAGGCTTCTTTAACTGAACTGAACTTCTTTCTTGATCTAAAACCTAGAATAAGGCAAGATGCTAAGTTCTTTATGCTCCTGAGAGAACCAGAGGTAATTTCTTTACTTAATTTTATTGAAATTTGTGGATAGAAAAATGTTTTCCAGCTGTGTCATTCTGGTATAATTTGCTGGAAGATTCCAGATACTGGCCAGCACAGGGCCTTAGCAGGCTTGTCCATTAGTGTGATTGACTTGAGCACTTCCACAGAATCCACTTTGGATTGTGCTGTACTTTTGGGTGGGATGGGCAATGCCCTGTTATTTTCATCAACCAAGATGTAATCAGGTTAGAGGAAATCAAAGCAGAGAATTATGATAAAAAATTAATCTGCTTTTAGAATTTATAAAACTTGTCTTTTAAAGCATCTTTGGTTCATAGGCTGTGGGCATACTGTTACTGAAGCTATGCCTACCACAAAATGAGCTAGACCAGATTTACAGCATTTTAGCTGTGTCCGTTTGTGTTGCATGCATGCTTTCATTGATTTGATTAATGTGTAAACTTCCTTCTTTTTACCACAGAATGAAGGCTGAATAGGGGCATTTATTGCAGAGCAGCTGACAGGCTGCAGACTGACCTGCTGAAGTTCTTCCTACTGTCTTGTTCCTATAGCTGTATACAAAGTCAGTCTGAGACTGTGTCTTTCCGTTAACTTTGGCCTTGGCTAAACACCCTAACCATCTTGGACTGGCAGTGGTGGTTAATAGGTCATGATACCTAATTTTCCTTTCGGAATGCTTAGTCATATGTCTTTCAGTGTTTGTTACATAATTGGTATAATATCAATGCGATATTCAAAGAAAAGAAATATGCATTGATGTGTAAATGTAAATGGTATAGCTGCAATAAATTTTGGAAGTTCTGTCTTTGAGCTGTGCCCATGGAAGATGTTTCTGCCACTCACTTTCTCTCCTATCTTTCATCTAAAGATTACTGTCAGTGTAGGAAGCAGGACAGGTATTAGCTTCTCTGCTGTTCACAGTACAGCACGTCTGGGATGGCTTTGTGCTGTTGATGATTTTAGCTGAATTCTTGGACTGGTAAGAGATTAACTGAGATGTGGCACGCTTTCACTTTTACCAAGTCAGCCACAATATTTCCTAGCAGAGGGGAGACACTAGATTAAAAAGAAAAACTTGTATGCAAATTAACTTGCCAGATGGTAAGGCTTTATATTTCTACTTTTCTTTATTCAAGAAGGCTAGGTAGGCTATTTCGTGTAAGACTTGTAGAAAGACTTGTAGGTCTGTCCTTGCATACTTTATTTATGCGTGAGGTATAGCTTGATAATGTTTGAATATCATTTTAGATGAATAATTAAAAAGCAATTAGAAATGTATTTTTGTGTAGCTTTCTATTAAAAATTCTGTTGCTCACACGCTTAACTGGTTTTTGGCTTTTCAGTAGTAACAATTTAAAAAGCAGCACAGAATTATTTTTGTCATTAACATCTGTATATGGTAAAACACACATGAGTAGATCTGGTGATTAAGAAATTACCATTTTTAGCTGGTTTACCATTTATTGGTAAATTTTTTCTTTTTCCTAAAAGAAAAAATAATGTGAAATAAAATTGAATCTGCAACTTTGCTCATAAACTTCCACAAGGAGGGGGAAACTGCCTTATTTTGGATCCTTAGTTGTGTTTTATGGATTGGTTCCAGCAGATTTGAGGCATGTGAAGTTGCTTTATTTCGGGTGGTCACAGGCAGTTTGAACTCATAAATTTGGCAAGAGAGAGAATCAAACCTGTCTTGGAGTCCAGGAGAATTTGCAGAATGTGCATTGTATAAAAATGCTTAACATTTGTAAGCCTGACATCGTGGTCACTGGTACAGACCATTTACTATATTGAAAGTTGACCTGGGTGCTTCTGTACTATCTGATTGTAATCTAAATTTGTGTTTTATAGCTTGAAACAATTGGATGGCGGCTTAATCTTCAACTGGCAGAGTCCATGCAAGCAAAGCTGAAGTCTCCTCGAGCTGTGCTAGAGCTGGGTGTGAGCAATGAAGATTCAAAGGTAAGAAATACAGGCCTGGCAGAGTTGGAATGAGTTGTGGTCATGGCCTTATGTTCAAAGTTCTGAGGCGTCAGTTGGAAGTCGTGATCGTTGTTAGTCTTGTCAGTGTTTTAGTTTTTATGTTTCATAAAATTATAGTAAGCACTTGGAATTGTGAAGTACTGATGTAATAGCTACATATTAGGTAGAGTGAGAGCTGAGAGCTGTGTTATCAGCTCTTTGGGCTGTAATGTAATAGAGAAATATCACAGAATATGGTTATTTTAGGTCTCTAAAATATCTTTCTAGATAATTTATTTTTATCATATAGCATGTGATTGGTACTTCTTATACTTTTAATGCCTAGTAGCTTGCAGCCTTCTACCATGTGTGTAGTTATGTAAGATAATTACTCATCACTTGCAACTTTTCTGTGCTAATGATGTATTTATATGAATGATGACATAGTATGTGAGACCACAGAAAGCCAATATTTGGAGGTTTTAAGGTAAAGTCCTAAAAGTTCAAGGATTTTAGAGGCTGGTGGTGTTTCAGTGCAAAAAAACCACTAATGAACATAAATTTTATTCATAAAATCTGTATCTCTTGTTAGCTAGCATGTTTTAAATTAAACCCATGAATTGCTTTTAACCTTATCTTGCTAATGGAAATTGGAGTCTTTACTTCTGTGGTGTCTGTCAGAATGTTTATCTATGAAAAAGTCATTATAAAAGATTTGAGGGGAAAAATCGGAACGCGGTTCTGCTTTAGGATTGCATTTAAATCGCAGTAATTTTACTAATGGGAGTGGAATTTCTGATTTATGGTAGAATAAAAGAGAATGCACAGCTTATGTTTGTGCTTCTCACCAGGACTTGCAGCAGTTGTATTTTTTTTCAGCAGTTCACTGCAATCTGTATTTTTGAAATGCAAATACAGGAACCAGACAATATTTTATGTCCAAGCTGCATTGGGCAGCACTGCATACAGATTCAATCCTGTGGCAAAACAATTTTTAAAAAAATGAGGAAAAAATGTCACTTTCACACGACACAGAAAGTTCGTCTGTTTCCTTTACAAACAGAATTCAGCAAGTGGATTTTTTTGATTGTTTCCTCTCTATTTCTTTTTGTGGGTATCATTAGATGCCAAGATCAGAATTATTTTGCAATAATTACAAGCCTAGACTAGACTTGTAACTGGCATTTAGATAGAAAAGTGCGACAAGAAAAACGTACTGATGCTGTCACACTACAAACACTAAAATTTAAAAATCTGGGTTGGTGTGAAGATAACTACAGGTTTTTTTTCTGAATGATTACATCCTAGTATAGAATAGGTTTAAGATTGGCTAATATCTGCTTATATACTGACAGAAGTGCTGGAACGTAATTTTTGTGCTGTATTTTGCATCTTCGTGATCTCTTTGTGCACTAAGTATTAAGTTATCTGAAAATCCTAGATGCTCAATACTTCTTTTCTTTCTCCCCAAACTTACATGTGTGCCTTTTGCACAGAAATTTGGCATGAATTTAGCGTATATGTTCTTAATGATTGTATTCATTTCTCATGAAACTTTTTCATTTCTTCTTTATTTTTTAAAATAATTCATGGATATAGTAACTTGAATTTTTTCAAGAAAGACACAAAACGCTGTTACAGAGGAGCTTTCGTGGGCTGGCTCATTAGGGGGCAGTAGTGCTCTTTGTCACACTGGCTCTGAATGCTTGTTTGCAATAATACTTGGAATCAATTCTGAAGTCAGTCGTTGTGGGATGTGTTAAGTGTTTACATTTCTAATCTGTATATAACAATAGAAGTTTGTCTTGCTCATCTGTAAAACTAAAGCCTATTAATAAAAAAAACCACACTGAGCAAGGTGAATGAAATTGGCCATTATTTCCACTTTTGCTAACTAAAAGTAATTGTGCTAATACATTAATGTTTACTACAACTCACTCCACTTAAAGATCATTTAGACAGTTCTTTGGCAGGAGCTGACATTTAAAATTAGTATTTAAATTATCTCTCCAGGAGAGGTAATCAGAATAACTGTGGATGTATGAATGTTTTTTGTGCTTCATGAAATAAAAAGGGTCAGAGGATCTGCTATATGCTATATAAATATTTACAGAGTATATTTGGTCAGCTTCAGATGAAATGCAGAGTCCCATAAGTATTATACCATCAAAATTCAAAAGTAAGGTGGTCTTTGGTTCTTCCAGGTGATTCAAGCTGTTAGTGACATTTGCATTGCCCAGGAAATATGCTGCTTGTGACTAGTAGTAATTGTAATCAAATCACATGATTTTTGGTAAACTGTTTTTTCCTGAGTTTTGTAACAAATTTGCCGTTTGCTTGTATTCAGACTTTGAATTATGCTTGATTTGGATCTAACAAAGATTTTGCATATGCCATGAAAAGTTTTTCACCATGGGGTGATTAAGTACGGGAATAAGTTACCTGGAGAGGTTGCAGAGTTGCCAGCCTTGGAGATACTCAGGAGTCAACGGGACAAGTCCCTGAGCATCCTGACTGAAGCATGGAGTTAGCCCCACTCTGAGCAGGGGGGTGGATCAGGTGGGCTGCCGAACCCTGCCTTCGAGCCCCAGTTGTCCTGTGATCTAGGCTGCTTTGCAGCTCGGTCGCTGATGGTGTTTTGTATGAGGAAGAGAAAAAAGGAGCTTTCAATTAAAAATCCAATTAACAGCAGCTTCTTACAACAATTCAGAATTTGAAATGTTTAATTGCATTTCTAAAACTGAGGGAAGTGGAATTTATGAACTAGGCACACAAAACAAGCTGGTATGGTAGGAAACATCTTTTTGAACTGCAAGATCCTTTTACTTCCATTCTAACATTTTAACGAGCTAAGGCGACATTTAGAACTGATGTGTAAGATACTGGCTGTGTATAAGGGTTTTCTTTAATAACATAATTTGGTTTCAGATTTTTTGGGCTGTTGAATTGCAACACAGCAATCTGGGGATTTTTTACAGACTATTACTATTTTTATGGTTATATGGTGAATTAACCAGTAGAGGGAGCACAAATTAACAATCCTGATAATCTGTGCTGCTAATTATGATTTTGATTTGCAAAGAAAGACTGATCCCAAAAAGTGCCATGTTTGTTTAATATCTGTTTCCTTCAGTAATTTGTTTAATAATTATCCTCATAGGCACACACTCACACATTCTTTCCCACTGTTAACAGCACTAATTCCTTAGGCCGTCTAGTCCAGACCTTTCTAAACAACTGTGATCATTTTCTATAACCAGAGGAGCCAAAAAAACAAAAAAGAAGTAGGAAAGGCTGTAGAAAAGGTCTGAGGGCTTCAGAAATGTCTCATCATTGGTGCTGAGTATCTCTGCAGAGGAATGTGAGAAGTAAGAGTGTGTTCCTAAAGAGTTTCTGCTATGCCTCTTCACTAGGAAATCCAGTAAGGCACATTACTATATAAGGTATTTATTATTGTGTATTTTTACAAATAATCTGAAGTTAACATTTATGCTTGAAAATCGTTAGGTTAAATAAACTAATTGCCGAGTGTTGTCTCTCGATAGTTATCCAATTTTTTTCTGTAAATCCATTCCACAGATTTCATTAGATTCAGTTATCTAATTACAATTTGTCCTGGGGAAGGGTTTGCTCTTTTCTTGGTTTTCCTTCTCTTTATTTCATCTACGATTTTATTCTTAACCATTAATGAATTCTTGGGGGAGCTCTTTTTTGAGTGTCAGTGCTATGTATAGATTCCTTGTGAGAATTCTATACTTTGTTTATTTTGTTCCTTCTTTAATACATGTATTTGAAGAATTTTGTTACAGGATTTTGTCTGCCAATGCAAGACAAAAATAACTGATAAATGTGCTGGTTTGTTAAACTTGCTAATGTAATACTTTTGACAAAAGACAGATAATACTAAAATGTTACGATACTAATTTAATTTTATTTCCTTTTAATTAATTTTCCCTAACTTGTAGATGCTTTAAAAGGGGAATATAACAATGGAAATATTTTAAACTATTTTTTTCTGCAACCGTTTGTTCAAAATCAAAATTGGGTCCGACTGCATTTGAAACTGAGATCATCATACATATTTGTCATTCTACAGAGTAAATAGAAGTCTGGAAATCTTAAATGATTATTTTTTACTTGTTAAAATAACAGGACATGGTTTTCTTTTTTTTTTCTCCTAGTTTTTACAGACTTTCTATACATTTCTGGAGTGTGAACAAATCTAGACCTTAGATGTTTTGCTCTGTTTACTTCAATAAGTTATGCTATTCTGCTTTCTAAGTTTGCCAATGTGAATACTTTCCCCATCTTTAACAGCAAAGCAGGGTAGATGAGAAACAAAGCTTTTCTTCTAGCGGGGCTAGATCAGTCACTCAATCCAGGTTGTAGATTCTGTGGAGGCAGGACCTGCACTTGGATGGGTATTTAAGGAAATATGATGCTCCTTCCCCTTCCCCCTCCGTTTAGCCCTTTGTTTCCCTCTGAAAAGAAGTTATATTTGTGGAGTGGCATAACAGGGAGAGTTGGTAGGTGCTAGTCATATGTTCCCACTCTAGAGAGGCAGAGGTGGCAGAGTGGAGCTCTATACCATGATGTACCCCCTTCATTTGTCTTCTCTCTCCTCAGCTTTTGGGGTGATGCATTTAGGTGCCATTTTTTTTCAAAATAGAGGAGTAATTTGTATCTGTAGGGCCCATTGTCACAAATGAGTGGTTTGAAGGCCGCGTAAAGAATCACTGGCAAAGGTATTGGCAAAGGGTGATTTTAATAGAAATTCATAGAAATGTGACTTAACAGAATTCGATGGCAAGGTTCACTCTATTACTCATTACATGGATTAAGTATACACAGGGAAAAATCGTATCAGAATTGTGTTGGAGTGATTTGTACAGAGATTAAGGATAAAGGGTAAGGGGGACCCTCCCATTGAGTCATGAGATTCAGAGAAGATCCGACTGGACCCAGTCTTAGTCTCAGACTTGGACAACGGTTTGTGTCTAATACAAAAGGGATAAGAAGACCTCCCATTGAGTCACGAGGTTCAGAGTAGACCCCCTTGCTTTCTAAACTCCTTCTCAGAGAGGAGTCTAGGTGCGGCTGGGTCTACCCTTAGTCTCAGACCTGGGCAATGGTTTATGACTAAAGGGTTAAGGGTGTTTAGCAGCGTGTTCAGCAGTGCCTAAACATTAATCAATTTGACAGCTACACAAGGAGTTAGTCAAGTTACTACAAGTACTAAAACAACTTAACTACAGATTATACTTGTTAGTAATTGTACAGATAAATGCTCAAAAGGTCTAGATCAATCAATAGGTATATATATATATGTATATGAATATGGTACCAAAGCTAAATGAGTCTATAAAGGCCTAAAGCTAGCTAAATTTATAAAGGTATACCTGTTAAAAATTCCCCTCGAGTCTCCTGAAATACTCACATTAAATGTTTTGGCATTTCTCAACGGGTGAAGGGTTGAGCCCAGAGGAGTGTTCCAGCCCAAATCTCTGAGTGATCCTCTGAGTATTGCAAATTTGAGAGTTTGCGGACTCTGAGAGGCGTCCCACTCAGAGGGAGATTCTGGATGCAGCCCGCTGCGGTCCAGGAGACCTCAAAAGGGTCTCGCTTGGGACCACTTTTTATAGGTTTGCAAGATGATTGGCTTTTAGTCATCATAGTAAATTTCCATTTTGGCTACTCTCCGAGGTGGTCCAGGGTAGTAATTATGGTATTGTTTCACGGTAACAATGGTACCATTCTACTTGAGCTATGATCCAGGTGGGGAATGCTTCAGGACTGTCAGAGATGGCGAATTATCTCTTGTTGTTGTTCCCTACCTTGATCATGTAGCTAGTGTCCCTGGTACGATCAGTGTTGTTCCCCACCTTAGCCATGCAAGAGTGCCTGGTACGGTCAAGGGACGCTCAACTGCCCAACTCGTACACAGTGGCTAAAGCTTAACAGAAGTTCCTGAGATTGTATCATAGCCCAGAGGAGCGGGGGGGAAATGCACCACCACACACATTCATCAGCTAACTCTCAACCACTTTCTGCTCTGATGAGGACATCACCCTTTTCCTTCTCAGAACACAGAGAAGCTTGCATGTACACCCCTGAACTGAGTTTAGTCTTCTCATCAAGCAGATTTGTAAGTCTCTTGCAATTGCAAAAAGTAAGTAGGGCAGGCCTTGGATGAATGCACAAATGTTTAGGGATGAGATTGAGAGAGAAGGTTTTTCATCCCTGTTTAGAGGAGGTAATTGGAGGCCTGGATAGCCTCAGATAGCACAGTTGTGGTTCAAGGTCTTTCTGAACTTCTGTATATAAGCAAGGTTGCTGCTTTTGGCAAGGTACATCACGAAACCAATTTTGTTCTGAGAACTAAAATCTAATAAATACTGCTGCTGATAAGAAAGCAGGAACTGCCCTAAGAGGAGGTTTCAGAATATTGGGAAAAGTCCTCATATTTGTAGGAGCTGAGGAAAGAATGACTGTATAATATTAAAGTGTGTGGAACAGCTCAGAAAAATGAGCGTGAAATTTATAATTTGCTTCCACACTGTCACATTGCTACAGAAAGCTGTCAGAAATTTCATTGCTCAAGAAATGAAGAGAAGAGCCAGAAATTTTGGACTTGCAATGCACAGCAGTTCTTGCATTAGACTGTTTTTGATCTATCATATCTATTATCTGTGATTAAATCCGTTTAATTAGAGGAGAAAATGAAGCTGCAGTCCAGAATTTTCAAGATGCTGAGAGGACTTTTGTTTTCTTACCAGCGTAGAAAGGGATGGCAGAATAACCCATGTCCTGTAAGTTGTGAGTAGTTTGACATTTTACTTAGAAGCCATTTACCAGATGGTGTGACTCCAGGAGTATGCACTCACCTCTGGCAATTGTACTGCAGGGTGTAGTTAATTATTCGGCTCCATTTGTGATCTTACATGATTTAATTACCCAGCTTATAGTAAGGATCTCTTTACAGGGATCTCTTTACAGTATTCTTATGTTTCACCTGGCTATATACACAATTTATGAGTATAATCTATAACATTCGAATTTACAAACCCTGTAACTGGCTACAGCCTCTGCATGTGCTCTGTTCCCACTAAAACAGTCTTACGACTTTGTCCATGTGTCTTTGTGTCATGGAATTAAAGAAGAAAATGGTCCCAGTTGACTGTGTACAGTTGGTTGCAGCCTTGGGCAACCTCAGCCTATAGTTAGTACTGAAACTCTTGTTTTGTACAGGAGTAAACTGAACTGTCCGTAATGTGTAACTTTACCACTGTCAGTCCAAATAAGCAGCAGAAAAGTAGCTGAAATACTTAAGTTTAAACTTGGTGATCCATTTCATTGCCAGGCAGAGTTCAACTTTAAGGCCTTGAGGGTATTTGAAAAACACAAAGAATCTGGTGAGTTTTTCTCATTTGATGCAGTTGTGTATGCCACCTTTTTTCTTAAAAAAATTGTTTCCTGTTTGCCTCAAACTGGTTTTATAGGCTTGGTTCTTCAGTCTTTTCAGATGAAGAAAAAACATTGATGGCATTCACTGCAAATCCTCAAGCATCTGTATACTTTCTTGCCTGCTATTCTCAGAACTATGCAGTGTTTTAGCAAATGAGCTGTTGTCTTCATTTGTGTGTAGCAATGGAAGAAGCCCCTATTTTTTCAGTAATTTGCTATGCTTTTGCAGTACTTCTTGGCAGTACCAATCCCCCTGCTTTTCCTTAGGCCATAAGCTCTGTGGTCCGTTCACAAATGTGTTCAAAATTGGCATCTCTCCCATGTCTGTTTCTTCCTGACTCTAAGGTAGAAAGATAAGCTAGTGTAAGAAATGGGTGAGATTGAGAGGTAGCTTGGGAGCAGTCTGTGCTTTGCTGTTCACTTCTTGAGTGGGAATGGAAGAGGTGCACTCTTCTTAATGCCTTGTCTTCTGGTAGTGCATACTGTGTTGGAGGCACTCTGAATATGAGGAGATCTTTAGTCAGAGAGAAGCAAAATACAAAAAAGAAGGAAGTTAAAAGTAAGATCTAAACAGACACAGAATGTTTTAATGGAAGTTGTGAACTTACCTATAAGTGCCGCTAACTTTTGTAGCTGCACCATAGAAATGCATTTTTTGGAGACACTCCAAAAAGAGGTAGGTTAATGACTTTGCTTGGGGTATCCAGAAAGAACAGTATGGAGTGTTCAAGGAAGGCTTTAAGTCTTTTACAGCCTACTTGTAAAAAACCAGAATAGGTGATTAAATAGCAGGCTTGTAGAAGAGATAGAGTATGATGTCCACACCTACCTAGACTGACTGCAGCACTCCACCTTTTCTCTACATAATTTCCTGTTTTTTTCAGGCTTACTGTAGTTGGTTAAAATTTCTTTTCTCACCACTGGGTTTTAATTCTGCAGCTGTGGAGGATGGGCAGAAAATAGAGGAAACTCTCTGCCTTCTATTCCTGTGTTAAGCAGTGCTGTTTACTGAAACACTGCTCAGCAGGCTCTGCGATGGGCATGGATAGAAATGGAATTCTTGTGTTGTAAGCAGAAGAAACAAAATTCTGGGAAGCCACAGAAAAACAATGTAATACAAACGCCAATGAAATGGGTTCTTACTGTCCACCCTAAGCAGTTCTTCAGTAATTTGTATAACTTTTAATCCCATTTTCTTCATAGAGTAAATAATGATACTGACTTCGTTGAACTTGAGCTGCTGAGAAATGCTCGCAGGAGCTTTATTTCCTATTTTCCCCCAATATTTCATCTACCTTTTCTTTTATTAGTGTGTAAAAAAGCATACCTGCACAAACTTCTTAAACTTCTTTTTTAAGATGTACTTGATTATTTTGTCCTGAGTTGTGTATTTTTCACCTTTGAAAGTTAAGTGGGTGGGTTAGCTTGGAAACTGCAATACTATGTTGCTGTTTAAATTATATGAAAGATATTCTAAGAGGAAGGGAGATGAGCAGGAAGATATAAGAGGCGTGGAGTAGTCATGAGCCTGTGAGTGTCTTATTTATGTTGGTTGGCTGCGCAGCTTTTGAAAAGTCTAGCTGCAGGCTGACATATTTTAACCCAAGTCAGACACTCTGATCTCAGTTTTCTCCTGTGATAAGTCTTTGTTATCTTCATAAAAAATCTTCTAGACTAGAAGTCCACTATAGCTAATTTCTGATTTGTAAAATGTAGTATTTTCAATCCATTTTGCTTAATTATTGCTATAGGGCAGGTTTTTATAGGCAAATTTGATAAGAACATTCTATAAATAAACATTTTAAAAAGTACCATAATATTTGGGGTATTTGTTTTCTTGCTGAATGTCATGTTGCCTAAACAACTTTTTCTGTGTTACATTTTTATGCACATGAAACAGGTCATTTTAATCAGTCTCTAGTTTTGGTTTTTTGTCCCTACAGTATCAAATCACTTGCTTGATCTTCAGTTGCAGTAGACCTAGTTATTCTGTTCTTATATTTGTAAAGTTTTTTCTTTTCCTATTTAGACTGAATATTTTTTTTTTCCTTGAAACTATAGT